TGATTGTGATGTGATTATGGATAAAACGTTGTATTGCATTCGTGTTTTAATTGCCTTTTATCCTTTTAAGAATATTAAGCGCTCGAACTACGTTTTCGTATTTAAACATTCTTGCGTGCTACTTGAAACATTTATACAATAAATAACTATAAATCTGTGAACTTTTGAGCTTTATGCCCATGAAACTTATCTTTTCCTAAAGTTTCAGCGTATTTGACCGAAGGCCAATTTCCATAAGGACCCTGCAGGGTCATTTTAACAAAATATATAAGGTGGTTTAAAAGTTAAAACCCACGTAAATCTCTGCAACCGTTTGGAACTAAAAATCTTACTTACGAGAAACATTATGAAACAAAGTTATAGGAATGATATCTCAGTGGTTAATTTTTCATGCAACAGATACGCACTATTTCCTTCAATACCAAATTAAATGTTAATTTAAAAAAAACAACTGAGTAAATAACAAAATATTTAATTAAAGTGCTATTAGCCTAAATAAATTGTTTGTTTAATTAAGTACATGATTAATTTAATTACTTTTCAGAAAAAATGGTTACCGCATTGTTTACAAAAACTAAAAAATTCACGTTACGCACAATAATATGATGGATTAACTTTATGCACGAATGAGAGATTACAAAAGTTGTCCGGGGTTTACAGAGAGATAAATGGATGAAGCTTGCTTTGTCCACATTTCCGGTGCTATCAAAGAGTATGTTAATTTTTTTTTATAATCTAACCTCATTAAAATGCCCGTTTTTTGTGCTGGAATGTCAGATGTTTATTAAAAAAAAATTTTAATGCAAATATTTATCACATGATAATAAATCAACGATGAACGTAATTGTAATGTTTCATCACAACTGCTGTAATATTCTCAGCGATTTAATCATATAGGAGTAAAAATAATATAATACAAGGGAATTATACATTAAAAATCATGCTAATGAATACACTAGTACATACAGGGTGTCCCTAAAGGTTCTTTACAGCGCTCCACCAGAAACAGTGCAGCTCAAAGTGAAATACATTGTGTCAAAAATTTTGGTAGTTTAAATGCGGCCTAATGGTCGCTTGTGGTGCCCTCTGAAAGATACAATGAAATCGTCGATGAATTCGAACTTCTCATCCCAAAAAACCCCCGGATACGAAAATTCATGAAATTATCTCGAAGTAGTCGAAAGATATTAAAGGAAATGTTATTTTTTCAACTTTAACACCCTACAGGGTGATTGATCATATCGGAGCTACAGCTCCGATATTATCAATTTTTGAACTAAGGCAAGTGTAGTTAAATCGACTTATTTTGAGCCGATTGCATAGAAAATTCCCTGGGCAATAAATAATTGTTTATAGAATAAAAGTTGAAAAATTAAAAATTCTAAATGGTTATAAAAGTATAAAAATAGGTATTTTTAATGTTTATCATTGTTTATTATGACAACAAGTATCTCTAAAAAATTGTGTGCCCTCTCTAAACCTTAATTTAAACCCAAGGTATGCGATAAACTTTATGAAATTTTCTTAATTAATAATCCAGTCTATCGAAAATCACACTTTCGATCGTTGCAAAATTTTTAGGATATATGTTTTACTATTTGTTCACAAAGTTTCATTAATATTTATAAATATTTACTTATTTTAAAAATTGCTCCAAATATACATATGATTTTCTACTATTTTTCGCCCATTGTTAATGCAAAATTCAACTTTTTTTATTTGCAGTTGTTGCAACTTTATAGAAAATCGTCAAATAAACAAGAAATAAAGAATAACTTTTTTATTTAGGTCTTACTTTCAATGTTACAGGGAAAAATATGTCGAAAAACGAGTCATTTTTCGTCTTTTTGTATGTTTGTTGTTCCCCTGAATTTAGCAACGGTTTTTTGGAATAGGCAAACTCGGATTCTCATTCTACATAATATTTGGGATTTTTCTGTACAACAAAATAGATGACTTCAAACATAAGCGCCAAAGCCTACTTTTACCGCTTTATCGCCTGGACTATATACTGAATATTTGTTTTTAATTAGGAAAATTATTAGCTCAAGTTTCATCTGCATACATCAAATACCTTCAGAGATATTTGAATAAATACGACATATTTGTGATATTTCGATACATTACAGATTAAGACTTTTCTGTCTAAACTGACCCAAAGAACAATTTCCTGAAGTTATGACACAGACTTAAAAACAAGCCGTGTATTAATAAATATGAGCGAAAAATTCCAAGAATTCTGCACACGATAGCTTTCGACCTAAGTAAATATAAAAAATACAATGTTGCAGTGTATCAAATTGATGCAGAGAAGGTTAAGTCTTCGAACAACTCATGTGCTTGACCTATGGCAATGTCAACAAAGGATATTATCGCTGAAACAAGTGGCGAAATATTGGATAAGATATTGTTTTAATTACTTTAGCTTCAAGTAGCACATTAAATGCACTGGAAAAGTAATAATTCATGTTAGAGTAAAAAACTTATTCTAATCAAGAATAATTATTGTTACTGACGGATTTTGCATTGACGAAGATTAGCAGATATTTTACTGGACACCCCGTATAAACATGAGATTATACAAAGAAAGTATACAGGGATGGCCAGAAGTACGGAATAAATTTCATATCTTTTGAATGAGTTAATTTTTTTTAAAACGCCGAAACACGTTAACTGATTTTGATTTTTTCCCATCTTTCGGTTTTCTATAAGCTTTTCAACGAGCCCCCTCATGCCTTGTTTCCATTTCAAAAAAAAGTAAGGGTAGCTGGGGGTTAGGGGGTTGAAGAAAAATTAATTATTATATAACCGAAAGATGGGAAAAATTCAAAATCGGTTAACATGTTTCGGCGTTTAAAAAAAATTAACTCATTCAAAAGATATGAATTCTATTCCGTACTTCTGGCCATCCCTGTATAGATCCTATACAATACATGTTCTACCGAATTTGCTAGGAAACATAGGATTAACAGTAACTTAATCCTCGCGCTACAATCCCACTATTTGATTCCCATGAATCGTATTGTTAACAACTATTCCATCCGCAGTAACGTTAGCAATAGGGGAGAATCCTATGAGTCTATATAGAATTACAAGGGGTGGATAGAACCCCACCAGTTTACGCAACGACACTACGTTCAAATCTGTTCCTTTCAGAAATCTGATTTGTCACGTTTAGACTGACTTATGTGGTGAAATATACAGTGTGTTTTCTTATAATCTGTTATTTATGTAGATAGAAAAGCTGGATAATAATCCACAAGGTGTTCTATTGAAGAATGTCACCAATCAAATTCATGCATTTGTCTTATCATTAAAAGTAACAGCAGTTGGTGCAGCGCGATATCTAAGGAGATAGAGACACACAATTTGGTTTAAATATTACATAATTGCACAGTTGTGATTAAATTCGAAGCTTACGAATTTAAAAGCTGAAAAGTATTTTAAACTATTCTTAATTACTGAAATAGTAAATACAAAGAGGTGCCAGGTTTGAAAATTTTATAATATGACGTATAATTTCGAAATAAAACAACATAATGACTGAGAAACAAATGTCGTACTTAAAATGAAATTCAACTTTTCTTACTATACACAGAACTAAACAATTAATTGCTCCAACGTTATGAAAATAAAGAATTTTCAGAAAACAATTTTATTATGTCATCTAATAATAAATTACATTTTGTCTCAAAATTCTCATCGTTAGTGCTCAAAGAAATGTCATCAAAATAGATGGTATCATACAGTCTAGGTCATTTATAAAAAATAAAAAAAATACTGGGTCCAAAACTGAACTTTGTGGTACACTCATTAGCACATCAGTGAATAATTACTTTTATATTGAGATTAATTTTTATGCACAGTTATTCCCAGTTAAGGGTCAACAACTGATCTATGTCAATTTTGGTATTAATCTTTGGTTGACATAATCGAATGTACAATTGATATAGCAAAAGATTTTAGGGTCAAGGTCAATGAAATGGAATCGTTTTCTCTCTATATGATGGACGTTTTACTAGAAAATGAAAATAATGTCCATGTAGCCGTTAGAACAATCTCCAGGAATTGTAATTTGTCATCGGGATCTGTCACAAATACTCCGAAAAAATAAATATCCTCCTTATAAGGTTCAGTTGATACAATGAACTATTAGAAGACGATTTTGACCTCATAATGACATATGGTTCCAACACGATGGGGCACCTCCTCATATTGCAATTGCTGTTCGGCAATTTCTTGACTTAACTTTCCGTAATAAATTAATTGGACGCAGAGGCCAATTGGATTGGATTGAGTGGCCACCAAGGTCACCGGATTTAACCCCTTTAGATTTCTTCTTATGGCGTTATTTGAAATCTAAAGTTTATGAGAATAGATCAAATAATCTTGATGATCTGAAACAAAGGATATGCCAGGAAATAAGACTTATTCCAGCAGAGGTAATTGAAAACGTTCAACGGGAAACAATCCTTCGATTACAAAAATGTATTGAAGCAAACGGACAAAACATTGAACATTTATTATAAAGCAATTATTATTTAAATAATGTTTAATTAAACATAATTCTTTTCCATTTGTCGCATTTCAAACGTCATTATTACGAAAACCGCTGATTTGAGAGATATGGGTATGTTAGGTATACAAAAACGGTTTCCAAAATTCTTTTATGCATTTATGACAGATTTTGACATGATCAAAATTGCAAAGTTTGTTTTTAGTTTAGTGATATTCTGTTTTGAAATAATGAAAATTACAAAATTTTAAATTTGCTTGCCAGTCTTATGTACCTGTGAAACTGGCATAAGGCAAAAATATTTAGTAATATCGAATATGCTCAATTTACTTCAACGACTATTTCGAAAAATAGGAGGTCCACATTGAATTTAAATATCCAAGTTTGTCTCACACTGTGAGTGTAAGCGCAAAGCTGTGGAAAACTAGGTCCATGCGCAATCTAGCGCCAAGCTTTAAATTCAGTATTATACGACTGGGGTTACTTGAAACACGCTGCTTATTGTGTACATAAAAGTGTTTTGGTGTGATGTCAATATGATGTACCTTCGACTGGCTTGAAAGAACGCGCCCAAAGTTTTAAAAACATAGGTAAGTTATTTACGAGATATTTATTCGTTTCCTAAATGTGATTTCAAAGTTTTCACGAAATTTTGAAAATCACTTATTTGTTTTTAATGTTCATTTGTCATTTATACAGCTATAAGTTATATTATTAAGAGATTCACTTAATATTTTGGAGTTTTGAGACAACTTTTTCCTTAATTTACAATTATCGACGCCGTTTATCTAAGTAAATATATTTCCCTCTTCTAAGCTTAAAACATGGATAAAAAAAGTTTATATTAACTTAAAATATATCCTAGCATGTCAGAAAACCATTTTTCTTATATACTGGGAAGAGTTGTTTACATATAAGCTCACTTTTCTGCAGATCAGAACATTTATCGTTGACATTTTTTTTATTAAGTGTACCAAACGACATACAGAGTATATTAATTAAATTAAATTAATTAAATACCATATTTAAATTGGTACTAGCTACATATAAAGGATAGTAAAGGGTTTAAATTTTATCTTGGAAAAAAAAATAGGTACATAGTTAAGACAACTATGTCCTTGTAACAGATATTGGCAATTTTGTTTATTGTTGTTGACAAGTATAAAGCTCTGGAAAGTTTTTAATACAGGTTTTTGCTACATTTTTTTAAATTTTGAACAGCTAAATAGACACCAATGAAAGACAATAATAAAATTGCTTCTACCGTTTTAAGTGAATTTAATAATTTGTATTTTTCTTTTTAATTTCAATACTCTTTATTTCGAAAATGAAGTGCTTCCAGACACACACTTTTCTAGGAAATTTTAAACTGATTTATGACGTGAATCCACCATAGATGTTAGTCAGAGTATATCACTAACATCCTGTAACTAATATTTTCAAATTATATTTAAAATTTGTACAATTTTAAACAAACTTTAGATTAACTTATATTTTAACGGACATATTTACAAATGTGTTATTACATAAAATAACGTATAATATTTATTTTTGTAATAATGTGTATAACTTATATCTGAAATATATTTTTTAATCTTCCTTCTTATTCCGCATAATTTTATCAATATTGTGCGTCGTTAGTAAAGTTCAAAAATTTCATGTCAGTGTAATGATTGTGACTAATAAATAAAAAAAGAAATAATAACAGTAATAATAACACCAAATCTTCTTAATACTTTCTGCACTTGCAGTGTGTTGAAATAAATTATTATAGAACAGTACATTGTTACCGAAAGAAAAAGATTAATAGTTATATAAAAGCCAAGCGATTATAGTCTGTACACCTCTTACAAAATTTTGTCCAGAGGGTAACGATTCAAAGGTTAGGGAGGTATAAAATTGGTAGAATAACGTAAGGGTTCCTCTGTTTTGTTGGTAAAGGTTGTGAATCACATCTGATAGTATGCCATGGGAAAATGCAAGCAGGGGTATGACTGGGTCAACTTTTTTTATGAACTTACTCACAGTTTCGACGGGGTACGTTTATAATTTACTCAACAATTATTTTTGATACAATATATCAAAATACGATTTAAGCTATTTCATAATGTGTAAGGATTTTATTGTAAATATTTAGAAGACAATTAACATGTAATACATCTGTCCCAGTCCTATAAAATTTAATGTTTTCTTTAATTACGTCTTTATTTTCCTGGCTAAAAATCCCAAATATGTATAAAATGCAAGATATAGCATCTGCCTTTTTATTAATGTTTGTAATGTAATTGTAATTATTATTTGTTTGGTTGTATTTAATGAAAAGAAACCGAGTTTCGTACGCTTCAGAATCAGTTGTATCAGGTTGTATTGGAATAAGTATACGCCAAAATAGATTTGTCGTAAAATATAGCTCAGTTTTCACATGCTGAAACAATAATACCTATCTACGAATTACATAATTTTCTCGAATCGAGTTAAATAAAATTTGAAACAGTTATTAAGTCACATAAATATTTTTATATACGGTATTAATTTGAAAAATGAGCTTAGACAATATTTTATATTAATATAATTCCAGAAACTGAATGACATGTTGTTTTAATACAACCAGAATTGTCACTTGATACTTATTTTATTATTACTTTTTTTAATATTTGTAGTTAACAAGATATTCAAAATTTTGAATTGGTAGTACCCCTCGCGAAAATAATAAAAATTATATTGTAGAGGTAGTCTGGATCAAAATAATAGGATAGGCGAAGACAAAGGTTAATAAATAAACGAACACATAATAAAAAATGAAAGAACCAAAAAAATTTCTCCATGACCTTGGATCTTTGTTGATTACAAATATTAAAAGAACGTATTAATAGAACAAATATCATACACCAGCTATAGAAGCAAATAAACAAATAAAATATTTGCACTGTCAAACATATTTCAATGGAAAAGTTATTCTTAATTTTGCGAGAACAAAAACAGATTACTCCATAGGTATAAAATTAATTCAGATAAATTTAAAAAAATTTCCTAAAAAAAAACTTTTCAAATCAAGTTTTACATTGTTCTATGATACCAAGAATTTGGAAATGCAATAGACATTTATTAAAACTTTTCGGTCTAGAATGATCCAAGGAACAACTTCCTGAAATTTGAGGAACTTAAAAAACATCCTTAAGCTACGTTTTGATAAATGACGTCATTTTTCCATTGGATGATGGCTCTGTCAGCGAATAGGCTCGAACGAAGTTCTGGCGTATTCAACACGAGGATATTAAATGTCTTATTTATTACACGAAGTTATTATTCGCCAACGTGCCGCATTGTCAGGCTAAACCCTCTTTCTGCTGCTAATAGAATTACGCAATACACAGGCTACTACAGCCGCTATTATCTCGGTTGCGACAGGCAGGTTGTTATCAAGCTTTTATGGAAAAATTCGCGAATAAATTTAGGTAGCGACAAGAACATAATGTGCACAAAAGTAAAAAAAAAATAGTAATTATTTCACATTTTAGTAATCTCGCTATCTGCGTCATTGTATGTACAATAACATACATGTCTACCTCTGATATGAAGCTTCGCATCGATCAATTTATTCGATACGCTTCTAGCGGCACCCTAACGACTGCCCTGTCGATCTGGCGTGCCAGTGAACAATTTTTTGTCGAGAGATGTTAAAAATCTCTGAAAGAAAAACCATCGCAACAAGCGCTTATTTGAAATGATCCAGAATTTCACTTTCTTGTTAGAAAGGAAAAATTGTTGAAACATTTGCTGTTCACTACTGATAAGATTTAAAATATTTAAAGGTTTTAATGTGTGTCACTGTTCTGTTAAAGTTTCAGACGTTCTGATACTTTCTTCTACTAATCTACTTCCTTAACACATCGTCACGTTGTCGACCTTCAGTTATATAGAAGGAAAGGCAGAAAGAACCCTGTCAAGAATATCATGGACGAATCTCAGTTATAAACTCATTTGAAACGCTTTGAACTTGTTTAAGTATAATTTAAGTTTAAAATTGTTTGCGATGTTATTTAAATAAAATATCTGACTCTTTTGATAAATGGTGTAATTTTTTCATTATTGCGTTTTATAGGAATTCCGCAAAATAATATTATGTCGGGGTAGGTTAGGTTACTATGTTTCTAGGGGCAGTACCAAGAACAGCCAATAATAGTGTTGCTTAAAAGTTAAATATATACAATACAATGTGTCGTAGTTAAGGCATTTTTCTATTTTTCGGCTAATTTAAGATCTCCTTAATAAAGACAGTTCCATTAGAATGGACTATGTCGGTTTGTCTTAATAACGAGCGTTCAAATAAAAACGTAGTCGAAGTTGGCTCTGACACATTGGACGTAGGGCGACCAACTTAACCTCATTTCTCAACGAGCTGTATAGCAGCTGTCAGTTTCAATAACGTTAATGACTATATAACTTTATTTTAAAGAATAATCGTGATAACAATAACAAACAATTAAAGGAGCTGCGGAAAGTGTCCCCCTCCTTGTTATAACAATAAATTAAAGCAGCTGCTGAAAGTGTCCCCCTCCTTGTTCCAAGCACTTTTCACACCTGTTCCTCAAAGAATTAAAGACATTTTCTAAGATGCTCGGGGTATTGTTAATTTCACGAATCTTGTCTATAAGTCGAGCCTGCAGATGGTTTAAATCAGGAATAGGCAGTTCAAAAATAGTGTTTTTAAGGTAAGGCCACAAAAAGAAATCACACGGCGTAATATCACATGACCTCGGTGGAAATTCATGTTCAGCATTGAGACTTATTAGTCGATTTTGGAAAACTTCCCTCAACATATTCATCGTCTCGCCTGCCGTATGTGCCCTTGCGCCATCTTGTTGAAAGTAAAAGTTTGTAATTTCGTTTTCTTCCAGCTGGTTAACAAAAGGAGCGATAATTTCTTCTCTATACCTTTGCGCAGTAAGAGTACCATTAAAAAAAATAGGTCCATAAATCCTCCTTCGATTGAGAGCACACCAAACTCCAATTTTTTGAGCGTGTAGAGGGCCCTCGACAAAAAAGTTATCTGGTTTTTCAGAAGACCACATTCTCATATTCTGTGAGTTTACGTAACCACTTAAATGAAACCAGGCTTCATCAGAAAAAAAGGTGATATTATGAAGTTCACCGTAGTTGTTTAAAAACCATTCACAAAATACAGCCCGTCGCGGAAAATCAACTTCATGAAGTTCTTGCTGACAAGTTAAACGATAGGAGAACAAACGCAAATCTTTTTTTAACACTGTGTGGCAGGTACCGACTGATACTCCCACCATTTGTGATAAAACACGTACAGAAGTTCTTGGCGCATTTTCCATTATTTGTTGGACATTTTCTTTTAATTCTTCAGTCCGCTTTTTAGGTCGGCCGCTTCCTTCTTTTCTTGTTACACTGCCCGTTTCACGAAAAACATTAACACAACGCTGAACTGCACTTTGAAAAATTTTGTACTCAACAACGCCGGGAAATTGATTTTGAAATTCTATGAAACATTCCTCAATAGAATACTTCCATATTCCATCAATCTTGCGTCCATTTCTAAAGTAGGACTCTATGATAAACACTT